TAACTTACAATGTGGAGCCACTCGTTTAATCAAGCAGCAAATTGCTGACTCTCTCTCTTATTGCTATGGTCTCACAAGTGAATTCTTTTATTTGCTACTATTTATTATTTGTCTTAACAATATCAATCTTTATCATATGGGCCAAAAGAATCATGTGCATTTAGTTGAATAGTTGATATTGACATAGTACAAAGACCTTAGGTTGTCGGAGGACATGAGTATGCACGTTTAGATCTATGCAAGTGTAGCACCTGGTTATCGTTCTGGGATCTGCTCTTACATATCAGCATTATTACAATATTTCTCTACTCGTCAACTGTACCATCCACTCACTTAATTGGTTCAAATTAATTTAAATTCTACCTTGAATATGCCAGTCGAACACATCCTTGGAAAATTAGTGCCTCTTCTATCATCTTAAAATAGGTGGAACTTTGTCTGATTTATGCTGACATCTCGATATTACCTATCTCATTTTAGCCCCTTCACAGCTGGTAGATACCACAGCCTTGTAATAGATAAGGACACTTTCCCCAAAGACGATCTTGAGATAACTGCGTGGACAGAAGACGGTCTTATAATGGCTGCTCGTCACAAAGTTTATCGACATCTACAGGTAAAAAATTTCATCCTTTATAAACAGAATTAGAACAGATTTAGAATTTTGATTATGGATTTTGGATTCTAGAAAAAACAGGTTATACATTAAGTAGATTTCTTAACACACAGAGTTTTGGCCAAAGCTGCTGGGTTCTACCCAACCGTAACTAGAACTCTAGCTTTGACCCTGATTGCCTTGAGCTGTCTATTTGATTTGGTGAAGAGTCTTAAAATTTAGAAAATGTTGTATGGTGATGTGAATTAATAAAGGAAGAAATGTGTTTTTTAAGACTTGATCGGTGGTTTGCGTTTTGCTTGGTTAACGCAGGGGGTGCAATTCCATCCTGAAAGCATCATCACAGCTGAAGGCAAGACAATAGTTCGCAATTTTGTCAAATTGATAGAGCAGAAGGAAAAAGCAGAAACTCAAGACTAGACCCTCTTTACTCATGTACAATATTGTGATTTTGCCTAAAATAACCAACACAAAAGTATGTTCTTTTTCTTTGTTGTAACTAGCAAGGTAATTCAAAAGTTGTCCATACTTGTATTCTTCTCCTTGTAATCTAAATTATTTAGGATGTGGATTTGGATAAAGTATTTCCAATCAAAATCCACATCCTGATGCAATACTATAATAATATTCAAAGTCTTTCCAAAGCAGTGGGAAAGGACTCTTCATGATGTTAAGTTTACCTAAAAATCAGAAATTGCTTAGTGGGCGTTTGGACATAATAATTGTGAAATTCCGGAAAGAAGGGTTTTTTTTTTCTCAAGTGAAAAATGATATTTGAAAATTAGAGTTTGTTTGGATATGAATATAATTTGGAGTTGTTTTTGAATATTTGTAAGTGATTTGAAGTGAAAATTTTGAAAACAATTTTGAAATTTAATTTCAAGTGAATTTTAAAATTTTCATGGTAAAATAATGATTTCGGTAAAAAAGTAAAAAAATTTCAAAAAAGGTGAAGTTTTTTTAATGGCAAAACGGGCCCTTAGTAGTACATATAGAGACTCCACCTTACTGTTTAGAGCTGTGGCAGCAATTAGGGCCTCTTACAAATTCTAAACATTAGAATTGAAGGGAAAGTGGGGAAGGTCGTACTTGGTGTTATTTTCTTCTTTACTTGTCATTTTTAATCTATAGTCTTTACCTGACGGTGGAATATATTACAAAAAGTATCTTTTTGTTCCTCGTAAGTGTAACCATATGTAGTAATTTATTGTAAGTGTAACCACATGTCTGTAATTTATTGTAAGTGACTTGTTTGCTCAAAATTATTATTGTAGCGTTTATTTTATAGAGTCAACTTAAAGAGTTGAAAAAGTCTATTTTCTCCTTTGTTCATGTCACAAAGAATTCAAAACTTTTTTATGGACGATATATTAATATGCGTAGATCATACTTTTAATTCCGCTTTCAGTCCCTATATTAATAGGAGCAGGATGTATTCTTTTTTCAACTGTAACTTTTGTCATATGTGGAGTTTTCAGAGCGTTTTATTAGTTAGTATAGTCATGATTTCGTCAATCTATCAATCTATTATTGTAAATATGCAATGTAAAAATGTGACGTCTTTGCGTAACAAAAATTCAACGGTCAAATACATGTGAGTCAAGTTGCGATGCATATTAGATTTGGACTTGCATTTTCGTTTAGGGACGGGGTAAGGATGTACTCGACAAAGTAGTATTGTAGAAACAAAAACAATAGTAGAAAATCTGTAATCAAACAGTTTTATTTTCTGTTTTAAAAAAAATAAGGGATCGAACAGGTCGGGATTTAACTTTTGTATACCGACAAAAATCCGTTTACACTATCAATACAAGTTAATCGTATTATAGCAAGTAATCACTTTACTTGCAAGGTTATCATATCAGATTTGATGTGAAGAATTACTTATTATTATAGGTCAATTTTACTCGATAATGTGAAAATTTATATATTATCGGTGCACATAACTTAAGCTCTTCTTAAAATGTGTTTGGTCCACGATTGCTGCTAAAAACAGAAACTTGGCCAAACTAAACAAGTTACGTTAACCTTTATTACGAAATCTAATCATTTTTCAAAGATTTGTTTTCTATTATGAAAACAAAATTCGTGTTATTGACCCTTGCAATAGATGCTGACTGATGATTGTGATACTTAGATAGGTAATTACGTACTAATCAATTAGCATCTCATGTTGGCCCCATTTTAGATTCATCATTAAATGTATCTATCTATCTTTTCTCAATATTATTCCGTATCCAAAAGGAAAATTTGCGCCTTTAGTCCTTCACATATTGAAATGTTTTATATTGGATCTTATGATATGTGGTTAAGCGCATCCGACTTTCAACTAATTGAAATGTGTACTTTTGATCCTTTTATTTATGAATCTTAATAAACTTATTGTATTATTAATTATTAATTAATTAATTACTCAAGTGTTATGTTAAAATTATATTGTTATTTTATATTTAAGAGTAATATAGTTCTAATAATAATATAAATATAACATATTTTCTAAGTAAAGGGGGCATAAAGGGAGCAAAAACAGAAATTTTAATTAATTCAGGGTTAAAGATACTCTATCACAAATATCAAAATAATTAATTTATCACTAACTGAATATCAAAGGTGCAATTCCCTAGTCTCCAAAACTAATTCCCTCAATTCTTCTTTTCCTTTTTGGCCCTTTTTATTTAATTTAATTTCATAAAATCTATACGGCAAAAAACTTTTACCTCATTAAATAGATACTCCCTCCAGTCCACTTTAAGTGATTTTTTAGCTATTTTCATACATATTGAGAAATTCTTCTTTTAGTATTAATTACCAATGAAATTGACCATATTAACCTTAATTTGCTCATTGGAAATATAACAAACTACTTCTAGGCTCTTTACTCCGAGGACAACTTTGAAAAGAAGAAGTTAATTCTTTCTTGATATCTGAAAAAGACAAATAATGTGGACCACAAAAAAGGCCAAAAAATCACTTAAAATGGACTGGAGGGAGTAATCTTTTGAGCTTTGCAACTCAAAAAGATCAAATTGACGTTTTACACGAAAAAAATTACAAGTCTTTCAATCAAAAACCAATGCCTTTTCTCATAATTAAAACATAGGATGACCAATTATTGCACATTTTATTTTATCCATTTATAGTTTTGACTGTCCAACCATTGAATTATTCGGTGAAAAAGATTTCATCGTTGAGGCAATTCCACATATCGCAAGTCTACACCACACCGTGCATCTATCAACCATCATATTATTGAAAAACATCAATAATATATCTATCAAAATTCTGTAAACATCAAGATTTAAACTTTGCCTAAAAGGGGTCCATTACTTGTTCCAAGTCGTTAGTCAAATCTGATGTAACACAATGAATACATCCCATATATTTCAAGAACTATATGCTGTAGTATTAAATTTTCTATGTATTATTCTATACATTAGCACAATTGAATTAGGAAGCTGTGAAGCTATTCAAATGAGAAATAATTACTTGTACTTAGTGTTTATGTCAAATCAAATAATTAACTTTAACAATTACAATTACTTGAGTATGATCAATAATAAATAATATATGTCTTGCATTTATTTGCTCGATGTAAACACTCAGTACAAACAAATTTTTCGAGAACATATAGCTAAGGTAAAGGAAAACCTTCTTTTCTCCACAAGAGTTTCAAGCCTAAATAACGAACTTAGCAAATTGCGAACAGGAAAGGTTTCTTGGTCATATCTGATTAAAATCTCGAGTACTGAACTTCCATTCCAGTTCAATGTACAAACAATAATTCATTTTAATAGTCTAAACAAGATAATCAATGTTGTTTAATTTGTACATGAAGGAGTCGTTAGAAGGTCGTTTACTAAAACAGTGGTTCTATCCTAACTCAATCAAAGCTTCAGGGGCCACAAAAAGTTAACACAAATTAAATGCAGCAATAATACTTAGGACATAAAATATTGGTTTTATTGTAGACATGACTTCTCGTAGCTAGATTCACGTAGTACTCCATATTATTCCAGTAGAACAAGAAGAACATTAATTAATTAATTATTTGTCTCTTATATTTATTTTATTTAACTTTATGTATACTCCATGGCCATTGACTTGATGGATCTCCTACTGGTGTTGCTTCCGGTGGTTGAGATCAGATTGAAGAGAAAAAAGTCAGACTCGAGAGTTGTGGAGGGATAGATAAGATCTCTACACCATTAACCTGAGAGATCTCGGGTTGAACTTTAGGAATGAACAAAATTATAGGGAGCATTTTTCAGTTTAAATAGTTTTACGTGGTGCAGATTCGAGTTAGTCGGTTTCCCAATGCGTATACTGAACATAAAAAAAGCAAGCAAATATGAGGGATATTCATGCGCTTTTTCCCCTTTTTCTATTTTTATGATAATCATTTTCAATGCTAGCTGCCAGTGAAGAAAGCCAAATAGTTTAATTTTGCACCCATTGCTTCTTATTGTATAGTGACCCCTTGCATTCATTGATAAGACACATTGAAGTGCATTAATTGGAAAGCTATAGGTAACTAACATACTTTCTTTCTTTGTTTTAAACTGTTTTGTTTTATCTCAAAACTTAAAATATGTTCTTTGTTTTTCTTTTTAATAATATTGATGCATCTGAGACAGTTCTTATCTATTGCATATAGTAATATTTTAAGTTCTTCTAGTGGATGATGGGAGGAAATCTCTTATTTGAGTTCTAAGTTTTTCCTTTCGTGTGCACTTATGTCAGGGAGACTCACTGCGTATAAAGAATTTAAAATAATTGCACCTGCAGCGGTCGACGATCCATAATTGATTTAGGTAAAGGTAATTGTAAAAGTTCAAGTTCAAATGTATTTGCTGCTAACAATATATATATACGCACTTCAAGCATGATAGTAAATAAAAAAAGAAGAGTTTATTTTATATACATTAATAGTGTTAATTTATTTTTTTAACTTTCAAGTCATTCAATAGATATCTACGGCTAACAACAACAACAACAACAACAACAACATACCCAGTATTATCTCACACCGTAAGGTATGGCGAAGGTAGTGTGTACGCAAATCCTTATCCCTACCTTGTGAGGATAGAGAGGTTGTTTCCAATAGTCCCTCAACTCAGGATAGTATAAGTACCACAATAAAGAAAATATAGACAAGAAGGGATAGTACCAAAAAGCCATATAAAAGCAGAATAAAACAATAAGACAGTAAGGTGATCAACAATGAAAGAAAATAACGGTTAGTCATAAAAACCTACTACCAACAAAAAGCGAGACTGCGTGCCAATACTACTGTAATGAATACTCTACACTACCTACTTTATTACCCTAATCCTCGACTTCTATATCTTCCTATCAAGGGTCATGTCCTCGGTCAACTGAAGTTGCGCCATGTCTTACCTAATCACCTCTCCCCACCTCTTCTTTGGCTTATCTCTACCTCTCCGTAGGTCCTCCAATGTTAACCTTTCACACATTCTCATCGGGGCGTTTGTGCTCATCCTCCTCACATAACCAAACCACATAAGCCG